CTTGTCAACTTAGAGTAGCGCCTAAAGATTACTTCGTGCGGCTATAAACATCCGTTAAGTGAAATGATGAATTTTTGAAGGATTTTGAAAACGGAAAAAATGATAGTCATGCTAGCCCAGCATCACCAACATTGAAAAATGCCCCGGCATGAAGTGGTTAACCCAAAGGTGTATGTACAGTCCTATTGAAATTGGACAATTTTGGACTGTTACGGTTAATGAAATATTGATTAAATGGTTTTCAGAGAAGTGGCAAAGCTAAGATTTTACTAGGGGGGCACAATAGGGACATCAGCTTCTTATGGGGGACACCAACTTTCAGTGGTGTGTTTGGGGGACCAGTCCTAAGTTAGCCTTGTTTACTATCCATTCATCCGTGTTTTTTTCTTCAGTGGGGGACACCTGGGGGGGGCACTGGGAATTTGTGGGGGGGGGACGTTCCCACCAACCCCACATTTGATATCACATTTGCATATATTCAATAAATATGTGAGGATTTTGTATCATTTTTACTAAAAGGGTGGATTTTTAAGTGCAAACTATTCATTTTTGTTGATCTCTGCCCTGACCACATGGAAGAGCAGATTCCACTACAAATTGGCCAGTATTTATTGTTCATTGATGTCTACAAGCACAGCAATTTTTATCAAAATCTGAAGACCAAAGGTCAAAAAGTGTGTTGGTCTGCCATGGAATGACCCAAATGTATTAATTATTATTATGTAGGTGTGCTACTAGGGAACCACAAACCATCAACATGCATCAACAAACATGATGAGATTCAACAAAGTATCAACAACCTGGAGATGCACTACAAAGTTTTAACAGTAGTATCATCAAATTTAAGAGTTTTACATCTCCTATTACGTAAGATTGTTGGGTGATGAATTCACATACACAATCCTGAAAGACCACAAATTTTCAGCAAAGACATATGAATTATATGGCCGCCATCTTTCCTTTCTAAATCAAAGTATCTCATACTTATCATTTGAAATAAATAATATGTTGGAAATGACATTTTGGAGCCTAATTAGTGTTGTGAACACATTACTTACTCGTGATAATGCAAGTATTAATTGTAATGCTTTTGATGTGTAATAGTATGACAGTATGACCCACTATTATCCAATGGCTTACCTTCCTTTCTTATCACATGGCAGTATTTTGACTGTCATAACTCCTTCCTCTTTTCCCTGATCATTCTGTACTTCAAATTCATCATTAACTCCCATAAGGTAAGCAAGACTCATCAGCCAAACATGACAGCTGCAAAAAAGGAATTTAAAAGATGGCACACCTCAAACATTTGAAGACAGAGTTGAATAATGCCTTACATCAGAGCAGCCTGATTACCAAATCATCAAGTTGGGACATACTGATTTCAATTGATAGGGCCACTAACTCAGCAGAGGATACATAAAAAGTGGGCAGATGGATAAGTCGAGACTTCTTTTCGTATGTATACGCGTACATGTATATGGGTGTAATGACTGCATCAGTAGACAAAGCACACTCAGCAATTTGGTAGTAACAACCTGGATTCTCTGGGCTCTGGCAATGGGCTTGTCAGTCATGAGTATGATATGTAACAGGTCATGAATAGTTACATGTACCTCACATTCAAAAAACTTTTTCATCTGAAGCGCCTAAACCAAGAATATGGATCATCCATCTCATTCCCTGAGCTTACAAGGTCCATACAGAGGCTACAGGAATTGCAGCCAAGCCACGAAATAGTGCTTATTTAAAGGTTAGCAAATTTTAATTCTAAAGTACACAAAACTTTCCTGCTCACCATTAAGCAAAGTCATGAAATTGGGCTGTGTGGATCTCATACTACCAAATTGCTAAAAACTGGGCTTGTCCACATGTGTAGTAGCCCCCAAAATATATCGTGGGACACAAACAGGAAAGTACAGAAATGCTGTTGCATGAGAGTGAAATCATGGTACTTGTAATTCCATTGGGTAAATCCTCCCCACGTGGAGTGGGTCAGGTCTCCTAGTGATACTTACCCCTGCCCAGCCTACATATGCAAATTTCCCATGTGCCTATAACAATTCGCTGAAAAGACTTGCTAATGCATACTGCCCCTTGACCCTCCCCAATGCACTGCAGTCCCGCCGGTATGTTCATCCCACATGGAAGGGCGGATTCCACTAAAAAATCTCAAATACATGTACAATGTACTTTGGACAATTTAGCACACTAGCAGACTGAAATTACATGAGGTTAAAACAAAAGGCACATAAACAATAATGGCTGTCTGACACACTCTGTGTATCCACAGAAAGGGTGCTACGCACACTGGCATACACTCATAACTGACAGACCTGTGTACAAGGTCGTGGCATGATGTGTAACAAAAAACAAAGGTAGTCTCTTTCACTAAGTAGGAAATACAGTGCTAAAATTGTTAGTATCAAAAATCTAAATTTATAACTTTAAGGTTATTAGTAAAGATTATAAAAGGTTAACAATGATGGAAAACATAAAGATGAACAAACTGCACAGCTGCTGCAGTGACAGTTGTAGATGGCTGTTGTAAATTTTGTGAGTGGACAGTCGTCGACCCCGGGCCACCATGGATGCAGCATCTGCAGAAAGACCTGACGCCCTGAAGGATTGTTGGACAACGTCAAGCATGTGAAGTGAAGACCCTCCGGTGCTGGGTGGAGGATCCCTGATTTAGGTTGATGAAGGTTGTCCTCCATGACTGGAAGGACCAGCTGCCGTCAAACCAGGAGTCTTGTCAGTCTTGGAAACCACATTTAGCAAGGCCAGAACGGAGCAATGAGAAAGATCCAACATGGCTCCTGTTTTATCTTGGACAGGACACACGGGATATTGGAGGAAAGGCGTACGTCAGTAGGCCTGACCAGTTGATCTGTAAGGCACCTGTCGCCATGCTCTTGGGTGAGGGAACCTGGAGCAGAACTTCAGGAGACGGGTTTGTCGGCAGAAGTGAAGAGGTCGATATGGGGAAGCTCGATCTCAACAAAAATCTCGCTGATCACTGAAGAATCCACCCTGTTGGTTGGACGGTGCCCAAAGAGAGTGTGTCTGCTATGCTGTTGCTGGTTCCCGATATGTGAACGGCTTAGAGGGTGATCCCTTGATCGTTCGTTCGCATAAAGAGCTGCCACACAAGAGCGCACAGTTGAGGAGAGCGAGTGCCACCCTGGCAGTTGATGTACGCCACTGCCATGGAGTTGTCGCTCTGGACTTGAACAGAACAACCTACTAGGTGTTGTCAGAAGTGGCAAAGAGCATTGAACACTGCTTAGAGCTCTAATCTGTTGATGTGTTTATCTTGAGAGGTGGTGTCCCAGACCCTAGAGGACAGAGTGGAGGAAGGAAGGCCCCCATCTGAATAGCAACACATCCGTCATCACAGTCACATCCGGACCTGGAGGTACAAAAGGAAGACCAGCCAACTGGTGCTCGGTGATGGTCTACCACCGCAGGTGATTGTGTAGGAAGGTCGGCACACATGTAAAAAGAGGCTGAAGCATTCATTGTAAGAAAAGTAAGCCCTGTTGTATTATGTTCGAAGTGGCCATTTGTATCCTTAAGTTGGAGGACTACAGCCATATCATTACATGCACGAGGAATAAAGGTCATTCTGCATGCATTGCAAGAATAGAAAAGATGCAGGTAAGGAGCATCCGAAGATGGAAATCGCTCCATGACTTAAGTATCCAAATATTTTCATAATACATCTAAGCATTATAACATTCCCTTTACTTGTTGGAATAGATAGCATGAGTGGATAAATGCTGAAATTGACAAGTACTTGCCGATTCTGCCTTTTCGTTTTGATTACGTGGGGCACAGTTGAAAAGGCAGACATGGCAAACCATTAACGAGAGTGAGTGTGGACAGTAGGCACACTTTTGTCAGACCTCGTAACAGTCACAGTATGTACACTTTGAACACACCCACTACAGAAGAACTCATGTCTGGAAAGCAATGTGGGGCTTGGCCAGGCCAAGCGGAAGAATATATGGAGAGTCAGGAATTATTAGATGAAGGAAGTGTGTAGAATTCACGATGATGTGAAGTTCGGTGAATTAGGATACCCGAGGAGTAGATACTGAATTGAATGGCATGATCACCAGTCAGAGATTGAAGGGAGCCTGTCTGGAGATCGCAGTTGATTGTTACACACCTGAGTGCCTCTGATGATGAAGCTTCAGACATCGGAGGGCTTGATGGGTCTGCGGGTAGGGCGATGACATCTACTGCAGGCATTACTGAACAGAAGACCTATGGTCAGAATAAAACACACACGGTAGGCTGATATTATCGTATTTTATTCACCGGGACAGTTCCATAAAAAGGTGAAAGGAGCAGATTTCTCTGTTTCCCACCTAACTGGCCCCTGGCACAGGAGTTCTGGGTGCTAGCTGGTGGTTTGATGCGTAGTGTAGCAATAGGCCTATGAACAACTGTTTGAACTGCGGTCAGGGTTTGGTATGCGTGACCCAGACTTATAGTCACGAGGGGCCACACGAGCAAATGAGGTAAGGCAACCTGGTAGAGTGTACATGTAAATCCTGCACGCGTGGAGGCCCCAAACACTGGACAGATCAAGGCAGAGTTGTTGGTAGGGGTGGAGATAGATGTGAGTCATAAGTAGAACCCGGATAAGTTGAAGAATTATTGTTATTACTATTATTATTGAATGAATTTAGTACGCACATATTCAATCAAAAAAATACATTTGTAAAACGAATGGGCGCCGTCGTGAATTAGACAAACCAACAGAGTGGGATGTGAAGCCGGAGATGAAACTGGATGTCAAGTCGGAAGCGGAGTCTGCTACAAATCCGGGTGAGGATCCGGAAGGAGATCCTCACACAGGGCATCTGGGTCCGGGCAGTCACCGGGAGAGTGGAGATTGACTCGAGGCGGCTGGCTAAATTGGGCAGCATCTCTGAGAGTGCAGGCTGCCGTCATCAAACCCAATGAAGAAATATCTTGCCCAGATGTAGAGTAAGATTTCTTGCATTTTATGCTTATGTGCAGTGATCTGGCCATATAATCCAAAGGAAGAACCTAAAAACCAGGGACACCAGCAGCATGTCTGGAATGCAGGTCGAGACAGGTCGAAGCGGGCTAAGCCGCTGGAACTGTGATGGAAGCACCCTTGTCGGAGAGCCCTAGCTGGTAGCCAGAAGCCGCAGCCATGAGTGGCACTCGAGAACCATGGCAATGATGCAGTTCTGTAGCCCGAAAAGTGGTAGGTGAAGAGCCCACACATAGTTAGGTGGTGCCTCTGAATGGGCCACCCCCGAAAACAATGGGGCATCGGCCTGAGGCATTGTAACTTCCAAGTCACGCCTGAGTGAACCACTGTTAAGTTCGTCTGACGGCTGTAGTTCATGGTGTGTGGTGGTCTTGTAGCTGGCCCCGGAGGTGTGGGGCCATCCCTGTGTATAGACTGGTGAGCCATACCGATGAATACACGTCTTCCACAGTAGGCGCTGGTGCCAAGGCCGTTTATCTTGGATAATGCAAAACCGCACCACAAAGGAGCAGGGCACCCACCAAGCCCTGCTCCATGGTCAGACCCATACAGCATTGGGCTGTTATTATTTGAATGCACGCACCACATTGAGAACACCCAAACCTATAGATAATCCACAGAAAAAAGGGGCAGAAACAAAAATACGAAATACAAAAATAACCATTCTTACCAACAGATAAGAAATCACTCTTTATTCGTAAACAGGAATCAAGTTAATTCACAAACGCAAATGGCACAAACTCGAAACTCGGAAAATGTCATAAAGACACGTCAGTAAACGATAGGCGCTGAAAAAAGAAGGACGAGCAGGGTAGCGGGACCGCAGTGCATTGTGGAGGGTCAAGGGGCAGTATGCATGATCAAGTCTTTTTAGTGAACTGTAATAGGTGCAAAGGAAATTTGCATATGTAGGCTAGGCAGGGGTATGTGAACGCAGGAGACTGTGAACACACTCAAGCTAAGCTAGGTGTCCTTATGGAAGCATAAAGGTGTGACCAGAAAGAAACATTGGGAACCACTGGAGAGAGTATAGAATGCTCAATGATTCCCAAATTTACATTGATGTCTCTCACCATGAGTCAGTGATGTAATGATTTATGTGGGTGATGAATGAAACGATAATGAATGTAGTGCTGCAGACAAACCGCTGAACCGAACCAAAAATCATTGAATACAGCACTTTCGAAACGAACCAAACCAAACTGGTCAGTTTCGATGTTCGGCTTAATATGACATGGCATTGATAGTGCCTGGAATGCACGCAAGAAAACTTAATAAAAAAGCAAATATAACGAAAAACCGGCGCTAGCACATGTGCGTGGCGTGTACACATGTACTATAAATGTACATTTACAGTAAACTTACGATGGCCCCGCATCAGGAGATGGTTGTAAAAAGTAAGTAGTGAGAATTCACTAATAATCAACCCTGAACATGCAATGTACTGCATTTCTGCTGCACAACATTTCTAAATTCTCACTACATCCAATGTGCTTACAGTATGCATATTCAGATTTAACATTGTATTTGCCAATCTCCGATAGCCACACCCTTATGTTCCATATTAGGCCAATGATGTCATAAATGGCCATGCAAAACGAATTTTGATTGGATACTGATCAGTCGGACTTGTGCTCAATCGAATGCTACTCCAGAGGGACAACTAATTTTGCCAAGCAAGCTCGTGCAGTGCTCCAGCGAGCGACAAGATTTGGTTGGTGATAGTGGCTTAACTTGCCTTTCATTTGATCATGTTTGATTGAAGCCGTAGTGTGAATACGTTGTAATGGAATTTTGCCAGATCTCAAAGTTGTTTGCAAATCTCAAAATGCCATTATCCATTCGAACAAGACTGATGGAATATAACCCCTTTGGCCACTTGGGCAGCACCATGGGAGAGAATGCTGACTTGATACCGAGGTTCGTATGTAAATACATCAAAGGCCATAGTTTGGTAGCTAAATCTGTTTCGTGAAATATAACCAAAACACACTTAGCTTGAAATCCAATTTGATCTTGTAGGCTGTAAAGGAAGAACTCCCATTTTCAGCATTCTGTTTTTTCTGTTTTCACATATCCTGCGATCATTTTGTTCAGTCAAACGTGGTCCAAACACAACCGCTTTTGGTCGGCAAACCACAGTCGGTAACTGTCAAACTTCTGACGGTAACTTTCTATGGAATTTTAGCTCCTATACAAACTTTGGGGACACAGTTTAGAAAAAAAAATGTTCACATCAAAGTTGCTTGTGGATGGGAATAGAGAGGAGATTCATTGCTTGTATTAACGTAGTTTACACACGGAAGTACTATATACAGCACGTTTATGGCGAGCTCTTCAATGTCTCAACGTGCATTGTGCATTGTACATGTACGTCCATGTGTGTACATGTCTGAACCCGAACCTAACCGGAGTTCGGCAAAAAATTTCCGAACCGAACCTTGGCACCTACTTACAGCACTAACTGAATGTTTCCCAATTGTTTCATTCCACAAGGCAAAGTCAAGTGGAATGGATTGTTTTATCTGTCACTATAAAATTTCTCTTACCATTGGACCCGCTGACGTTCATTACTTGTATAGTACAATACGGTGTAGCACAGTTAGCATAGATTCATATGGTGAATGACAAATGGTGAAACATTTACATGTATCTGCTTACGTGCCAAGTAAGATGTCTTCAACAGGGTCCCAGAATGGATCAGCAGCCTGGAAATGGAAATGAAAACTTAAGCTGGTTAGATCAACATCATTGAAATCAACACAATCAAGACACTGCTGATCAATGTACATATCAACATTCCAAGTCAAAATATTTTCTCTCAATTTACTGAACCATCTACGGAAAATAGTTTATTCATCACTGAGGTCAATGTTTCATTTCAACATCAACAATTTATAACAGAAAAAAAAACCAACTCACTAAAATCACAGAAAGAATTGTTATATGCATTGTATAATGGATAATTTAAAATTCCAACCCTCTATGCCTTGATTTGAGGATAATTTAAAAAAGGGCTTAGTAATTCTATATAAGGATTTGAAGTTTGACTTGAAAAAACTACAGATAATGAACATATGTTTAAAGAAACTACAGCTCTAATACCTGTTGCACTATCGTGTCTCCATCTGATTCCTGGAACTTCTGGTAGAGGTCTTTGATAAGAAATCGTCGATTGGTGAACTTTTCAGCAGACCAGATCCATATTTGATTTGTTTCTGTGTCTGTCACTCTCACTGATACCTCTTTTGTCATATCGCGACCTCTAGCATCATGGGAAGTCAGATTCTTTATCAGAGCTTCAAATTTTACTCCCTGGATTAATAAAATCCATAAAATTAAGGCATGGGTGACCGACAATGGCTGATTTAAGCACACTCCCCAACCTCAAGTTCCAACTGACTGCTTTTCCAAAAAAAATGTGCACACATGGACAATTAACTGCATGCTGTACTGCATACATAATGAACAGCCATCCTGGTTCCAAAGTCTGAAGTTGGTGCTTCTCTATGTAAAGCTCTGGCCTGGACACATCTCACAGAAGACATATTACTTGACATAACCACATGTTTACATCTGCATTTTGTTACTGTCATAATTGTCAACATCCTGAAGATGATTGACAATGACTGATTTTTTCAAATACTATGTCAATGAAATCCAACCATATAATTTTATGTTCTTACAAATGAAACTAGTGAAACCTGTGTGGATGCTGACATGCATCGATTGATTGCTGTAACCGAGAGGCAGCTTTGCCATTGAGAAAGTTGCTGTATTTAGCTAATAACAGACAAAATCTAGTTTTGTGCTATTAAACGAGCTGCTCATTTTCTTAATTTGGCCTGAAACGTGCAAGGATTTTGGTCAACTCGTTTTGTTTAGATGGCCGTACCCATACCCCAAGCTACACTAAGGTCTGTTAATGTTAAGAAGGCTGTTCATGTGATAGATGTAATCAAGCCAGTCTGGTAAGCCACTACCTTATTTGAGGGAAGACTACCCAAGACCCTGTACTGTGCCATTGCAAGTGCATGTTGGCTTGTTGGTAAATGTGACAAAATTTCTGTAAAATGTAACCCAGAACTTACATTTATTTGGCATTACCCTTATTTGGCATTTTGTAAATAGAACAAATACAAGTAATGTCTCATTTATTTGTGTAAGTATGATGTACGGCAATGATCTAATTTTGGAGGCTTCATAAGGCTGCAGAAGTATCAGGAAGAAACTTAAAAGTATATTTTGAAAGAAAACCTAGCATCAGATTTCCATTTGTAAAAAACAGAAACTAGAAAGTGTAAGTACATTGTAAAAATACCAAATTCTTGTCCAAGACTCTTAATTACATTCTTTGAGTTGCACATTTGCAGCTGCATTTCTCATTATAGAATGCGTTGCTTATTAATAAAGATTGACAAATGTTTATAATACTTGCTCACACACAGACAAGAAATCCAAGGTTCTCCTGTCAGAGTATGAACGCAGGTCTTATTTGTTGTTGACAATCACACACAAAAGAAATAAAGCTTGGGAAACAACTCAAGATTGACTAAAATTCCTACCCTATTCATTTCTTGACTGATCTCATTGACCTCAGCAACTGATGGAAGAAGGCTGGTAAAATCATGATACACCAGTCTCAACAAGGCATCATGGGCAGAATTGTCACCTGTCGATGCCAATCCCAGCATGCCTCTGTCTCCAAAACCTTGGCTTTCTGCCAACTCAGCCTGGAAGTAGTGGTAGTTGTACTTGTCCTTACTATCTTCGGCTGCTGAGCGATCATCAGGGAAACCAATGTATAGAAAAAGGCTGTTCGTTCCAAATATTACTCGATCCTAAACAACAACAAAAAAAACAAATAGGCTGATGTAATACTTCTTGCTTAAGACTGATGATGAAAGAAAGGACTTCATTAAGAATATGGAATAATTTTGTTCAATTACCAAACACTACTGCATAAAATTAAAACAGGTTCCATGCAGTAAATAATTAAATGCTGTGACTCAAATCCACTGCTTGCCAACATAAGTTGAAGCCTCGACCAGTTCAATGCACTTCAACTTTTACCAGGGCAGATGAACAGCTGAACGAGGGGGATAGAATGAAAGTACTGATGCCTAACTTCATGAGTTGTGCCTCCCTACATATTTATGGGTGTCATAAATAAATTGCAAAGGTGAAGAATTTGTGGGGAAAACCCCACCCCAGCAACTTTTTCAGGTAAGCATATCCGAAGTGAACTGGCCATGTGGAAATCTCCACTGTTGTAGTCAAGACCATCACAAGACCAGACATAAGACCAGACACAAGACCATGCACAATTAGACCAGGCACAAGACCATCACAAGACAAGACCAGACATAAGACCAGACACAAGACCAGTCACAAGTAAGAGGGTGACCAATAACAAAGCGATGCTTTTGTCTTGTGCTGGTCTTGTGAAGGTCTTCAGTGGTCTCAACTACAACACTGGATATCTCACTTTTCAAACTTCACCAACATAACAAAAAATTTAAGAAAGCTGGGAATTAAATAAGGAACCAACCTGATGATCTAACTGGGTTGCCTTGGTAATAAACTTCCCATTGATCAAAATCCTGCTGTCTCCTATAGCAGTCACTGTCATCTTGTTCTTGGAATTAGTCACATACGCATGCTCAGGATGGATGCTTCCGAAGTGAACAAACAATTATTCAAGGGAACATTATCATGTTGGGTAAGACTCACAATTTGTGAAGGCTGATCTATTTATCTCTGAAATTATTTTTTGTTATGATGATTTGTTTAAGGTAGAGATCCTAGCCCTTGCAGTGATAACACGAAGCAAGATTATCCACATTAGAGTTGCCATCGTTGTATACATGTACTTGATGGTTGGTCTACCTGGCCACCTGCATGTACATGTATGCATGTACATGTACATGCAGCCAGAACATTACAGACTGCACTACGTGTTGATTGTAATTTTCCTCAATTATTGAAGCATCATCATCAGTCCTAAAGATATTTCTTTTATTTAAAGCAAGTTTTCAATGCTCAATTAAAAGGCACCGAAATTTGGGGAGTCAAGAGGCTTGTTCGGTATACCCAGGAACAGCTAAAACTTGTACAAAAATTAGTAAAATCTGGATATGACTGGATGTTGCCTCTAGGCATCACTCCCAGTCTGCATGTACAGTAAATTCTCAACAACTTGAAACACAGGGGAATGTGTGGGGAAATGAGTGAATTTTGAGCTTATGAAACTTCCTGAGTCAGTACTGTATACGTAATTGAAACCAACTTGAACTATAGTGGAAATGTTTTTATGGTGCACAATTTTGCTCACAAATCATTTTATAAAGATCTAATGCTGCTGCTACCTAAAGTTTTGTTTCTATTGCAATAAATCATTTAAACGTTGTACCTTCATGTGGCAAATCTTAAAGAATTGTGTTGATTGTATTTACAGCATGACAGGCAGCGCATCTCCGGTTTGTTTTTCACTTGGGTATTCCTATGTGGGGTCACACGACCTTTCCTATTAAGGTCACACGGTTGATGTCCCTTGTCACACAGCACACAGGGCACAGATAGAGAAGGGCAAATGCACTTCTATTTTTGTGATGGAAATATATCACTGCTACAGACAGGCAAAGCATTGTGGATCACTTGTCCTCATCATCAATGCATATATTTGCAGTGCACGTGTCACACGTACATGTGCATGGAAAATCTCAAAATTTTGGAAAATCCCCCTCGATTCCGACCCCACAGGAACATTCTTACAACAGATTCAGCAGGTGCTGGATGATATGCGTTCACATGACCAACTATCCAAGAAAGTTCGTAAGTTTCTGTAAGTTTTACCTACTCCCCAAAATCCAGGGAGGCCCATTGTTTCCAGGAATGGATCGCCCACTGAACACATGTCATTGTTCACTGACACTTTTCTCAAACCCCTTGTTCCACAGATCCTATCATATATCCATGACACACCAGACTTCCTATGTAAGCTGGAAAACATCAAGAACCAGATTCCTAGCACAGCCATCATTGGGACCTTTGATGTTTCTTCACTCTATACTTACATTCCCCATGAAGAAGGTATTCGTGCCTGCTGCGGAAACACAACTCCCCCCATCAGTGATGTCGCGACGCTAATGAGACTTGTACTACCGAAGAACAATTTCTCCTTCACAGGCAAACACTATCTCCAGGTACATGGCATAGCTATGGGCACCCGTATGGCTCCCTCCTTTGCTTGCCTCTTCATGGGTAACCTTGAAGAGCGCATGCTTACTTCAGCACCATGCCGCTCTTGGATCTGGTGGAGATACATCGATGATGTATTTTTCATCTGGACCAGTGACAGTGGCAGTCTAGATATCTTCATTAACCATATCAATTCTTTCCACAGGACAATTAAATTCACGTTGGAATATTCCCTCCATCAGGCTAACATTCTTGATGTCAGCATCAGGAAGGAGAACAACCTCGTGACTACTGACCTGTATTCCAAGCCCACAGATACCCATCAGTTTCTTCACATGTCCAGCTGTCACCCTAGACACTGCAAGACTGGTATTGCTTACAGCCAAGCACTCAGCCTGAGACGCATTTGTTCTAATGATTCAGATTTCTCCCGTCATACACAGGAACTGAAGAGGCATTTGATTGTGAGGGGGCACAGCTATCACCAGCTTCAATGCTCTATCAATAGGGCCCGCTCCGTCCCTAGAAGTCTTGCACTCAAGGAGAGGACCCCCCGTGAAGAAAAAGTCCCCAGGGTTCCCTTGGTCATCCTTGTCTTCCTCCCCTCCGCAAAATAATCGATGACAATCATCATATCCTCCACACTTCAGACGACCTGGCTAGTGCCATTCCAGACACCCCACTTGTGGCCTACAGGCGTCCCCGCAACCTACGGGACCTTACCGTTCGGGCAGAGGTGCCCACATTGGATACCCTTCCCCCTCCCAGCAAGGCACGTTTCAAGTGTGATTCTAACAGATGCGTTGTTTGCCAGAACCATGTCCTGGAATCAGATACATTCTCTGGACACTCCTCCGGTACCCCCCACACAACTAAAGG